AAAAAGCATCAGAGATGAGCCAGGGAGGAGGAGGAGAGAGGCTTCACTTCTTGAAAGCCTGAACAGGATCCAGCTGAAACCAGCCACCACACCCAGATGAGGTGCTCTGCAGTTTTCAGAGTGCATCACATCCATTATCTTCATGACCCACAGACAAGCCCAAGAAGCAGCCTAATGTGAGGTCGCCAATCCCTGTGCATGCTGCCCCTCAAATGCCTCTTGTGTCTATTATTTCTCTTCCATCGCACTGCCACTGCCCTTTCCATCTCTCTCGAGGACGTTGCACTAGCTTCTCACCTGTCTCCCCACTCCCAGCCTATGTCCATCCTCTCATCCTCTCTTGCTGCCTGAGTGATCTTTCTGCACTGCAGATTTGTTCATCCTACAGTTGACTTCACAGCCTCCAATGGCCCCATCAAGTACAGACTAAAGTCTCACCTCCTGTGCATTCAAGGATTGCTACCTCTTCTACAAGTTCCTTTCCACTAGTTTCCACCATATTCACCCTCCTACAACCTTTCAGCCAGTCGAGGCAATAATATACCTTCTGAATACACTTTCAGGGACTATATTTCTGCTCATGCCATGAACTCAGCCTGGACCCCTGGCTTCTCCTATTTTGTTGACACACTCTTCTGCTTCCTTTAAGACCCAGCTCAGGGACCTATTTCATGGGTCCTTGCCTAACTGGCCACCAGTGTTCTCATGGTGTTAGTACTGAACACTATTGCAGTCCTTACCACATGATGACCTCCTTGGTCCTTCACGCACCTGTCTCCTCTCCCACATTGGGAGTTAGTCAAGTCCAGGGATCATGCTTCCTTATCACCATATCCCCACCACCCAGAATTGTTCTGACATCTAGTAGGTGCTCAATTGACACTGGTGAAATTCGGCTTACACATTAAGACACTGGAGCTTAGAGAAGTCAAGGAGATGGGTTGAATGCAACTCATCTGATAAGAAGTCCAGTTGGGGTCCCTCTCCTGTTACTACCCCTCCCAGACTCTCTGCTTATTCTGGAGTCTCAGTACCATATACAACCCATGAACCGCCTCCCTGTTTCCAGCACTACATACATTTTTTTCTGCCAAACCCTTCCTTTCTTCCCCATATCTTTCCACCAGTTGCCCAACAGCCTTGGACGAGCAGGGCTGCTGGAAATCCTAGGTCTGAAGGAATAAGGTTCAGAAACCACCGGAGACCCTTCAACCTTGGAAAAGCCCATGACTCTTCCTTCCCATGAGACCTATCATTCTAAAAAATGAGGTTCTCAGGGTTGCAAAGAATAGCCACTTAATCAAGCATGCTCACGTTTTGGAGTTTTACAGCAAAGATCTAGGGAGCCATGGTGAAGTCTAAAATCTTCACTCCCTCAATCAGCGACTGGGTGCCAACTCCCCAGCTCCATCCAATCGTGTCCACCTGGAACCTCAGAATGGGATACTACAAGGAATAAAGATCTTTGCAGATATAATTAGTGTAAGGATCTTGAAGTGAGCTAATCCTGGATTCAGATGGCCCCTAAATCCAAAGGCAAATGTCCTTACAAGGGACAGAAAGGAGAAGGCACACAGAGACACAGAAGAGAAGGCCGTGTGAAGATCCCTGTGAAGACAGAGGCAGGGGTTAGAGTTATGTGTCCATAAGGTGAGGAACACCAAGGATTGCTAGCAACCAATCCTAGCAAGTTTTGCTAGGAGAAAGGGATGGAATGGGACCTCTCTCAGTGTTTTCAGAAGAATCCAACCCTGTTGACACCCCAATTTCAGACTTCCGGCCTCTAGAACTATGAGAAAATAATTTCTGTTGTTTTAAGCCACCCAATTTGTTGTCGCTTGCAATACTAGGAAATGAATATAATCAGACAGTGTAAGAACACAGAGGAGGCCCCTGCAGGGCCACAGGGAACAGATCACCATCATGCGTGGTCCGCCCACCCTGCATTTCACCCTGGCCCCTCCTGGTTCCTCTTGGTCTCTGCACTGTCCTCTAACTGCCTCCAGCCCATACATTCCCATCTCCTCCATGTGTCTCCATATCAGGCTATTAAATGGCTTCTGCTTACTTGTGGCTCTGCAGCCTGAACTGTCCTGTGTCCACCTTCTCTGTGATCTTTCCATTTCCCTTACATATGCCAACCAGCCAGCTCCCCTCACCCCCTCTGCATTTAAGCTGTCCTAGAGAGATGATCTAATGGTTTAATTAACCACCACTATCCCCGACGGGCAAAGCTTTTACTCCAGGCCACCTCACAGGCACCAGATATTGGCTCTGCTCATCGTGGTCAAGATCACCCTGGTCTGGTCAGTGGTGGCCATAAAGGCAGTCCATGGATTCCAGCATGGGGAGGGAGGCTCTGAGAGGGCAGGACAGCTGACCAGAGACCATCCCACATTGGTGGCAACTTCACTGTTGAGGCTAAATTTCTTGAAGAATTCAGTAATATGCAGTGAGAAGGAGAAAGGGAAGAAGCACTTTCCTCAAATATAAGAAGGAAAGTGTCATCCGTTGAAGCTTTTGAAAAGTCAAAATTGCAATCCACTTGCCTCCCTCGCTGCAGGAAGGCTGCCTTTGACGAGCTGCTCAGAAGTGCCCATTGCTCTGGGTCAGCATGACAGCCATTAGTGACAGAAGGGGTGGGTGGAGAGAGGCTGGGCAGAGAAGCAAGCTGCCAGGGCCCTGGCCAACCAAGGGTCAGCCTGCGCACCATGGGCATTTGCAGAAGGCCTGGGAGAATGGCTCTGGTGTATTGGGCTGCTTTTACTATAATCCCACTCTCTGAATCCTGCCCATGTGTGGCACTATGCTAGACACTGTCCAGACATCCTCTCATGTGTTCTCCTCCAGGACTCAGGAGCTGGATGTCCATGTTGGACTTGTTGTACATATCAGGGACCACAGATATAAATGCCCAAGGTTGCAAGACAAGTAAGTGATGGAGTCAGGATTTGAGCTCAGGTCAGAGGAGGCTAGAGACATGATAGCAGAATGTGCTATGTGATCCTGGAGTGACTGTTGGGATGCAGGGAAGACAATTATAAAGGATGTAATAGGACAATGGGTGGCATTTGAATATGGAATCTAGATCAGAATATAGTTTAGTATCGTTAAACTTCCTGATTTTGATTACTATGCTATGGAAATGTAGATATTCTTATTCTTAAGAAATATATGCTGGAATGTCGAAGGAACAATGTTTCTAACATACTCTCAAAGAGCTCAGGAAAAAAGAGAGAGAGAGAAGTATGAAGAGAAAGTGAAAAAATTTAGCAATTAGAGAATCTGGTGAAGGGTTTGCAGGGGATCCTTGAATATTTTTGTCACTCTGTACATTTGAAACTACATCAAAATTAAAATTATAAAAACGAATGGCCACCAAATCCTGGTTCTTTCAATTTTCTTAGAGCAACTTTATTGAGGTATACTTTCCATACATAAACTGCGTATATTTAAAGTGTATGCTTTGGTAAGTTTTGACATTTGTATACATCCATGCAGGCATCACCACTGTGAAGAAAGTGAACATATCATCACACCTAAAACATACTATCACCCTTCCCACCACACCCTAGCCCCAAGCAACTGCTTTCTGCTACTGTAGACTAGTTCACATTTCCTAGAATTTTATATAAATGGTATCATATGGTATGTTCTCTTTTTTGCCTGGTTTCTTTCAAAAAGTGAAATATACAAAGGTATAATTATTTTGAGATTCATCCATGTTATAGCAGGTATAGATACTGCATTCTTTTTATGGCTGACTAGTATTCCATTGAATGGATATACCACTGTTTGTTATCCATTCCCCTGCTGATGGACACTTGGGTCATTTTCAGTTTTCGGTGATTATAAATAAAGCTGCTATGAAGATTTGTGTACAAGTCATTCATTGTATGACATATGCTTTCATTTCAACAGGATGGCTAGATCATATGGCAAGTGTGAGTTAACTATTTTCCAAAGTAGCTGTACCACTAGCAGTGCGTGAGGATTCCAGTTTCCCCACATTCTTGCATTGATTTTCCCTGACTTGGCATTGACAATATTTTTGATTGGGGCCATTTGCATTTTCTTAATGATTAGTGGTGTTGATATTATACCATTTCATCCTCTCTCCAACTTCTCAGGGGGCCCTTGGGGAGAAGAGGCACATGCAGTAGCCTGGGAAGTTCAGTGATTTCCACTCTGCAGCCCGAAGTGGAGAATCAAGTCCGCAGCAGAGAGTATGGCAATGAATGGGCCCAGGTTGAAGACTGGAGCCCCAAAGTGAGAGCCCAGGGTACTTACAGAACAAGGTATTGGCCCAGTAGCTCTGATTGACAGACACTTCCTGTTGGATGGGACATCTATCAGGTCAGCAGTCAAGCCTGGGGCTTCTCCACAGGTGACCAGTTAACAGGATACATCAGGTCCTAATTCTAGGACTTCATTCACCTACTCAACAGCTTGAGTGTCTTCCAAGCGCCTAGTTCTGTGATCAGTATGTCTTTGATGGGCTTTGGTTGGTTCTTAAGTTGTAGGCAACTTTCAGAGTAAAGTCGAAACTCCTAAGGATGATGTTCAAGGCCTTTCTTGATCAAATCTTCACATTTAGGTGTTCCTGCTATATCTTTTCACCCAGCCTGTGCTCCAGAGCTAACAAAAGCCCCAGTGTCCCAGACTTGCCAGTAACTTCCTGCCTTAATCTTTTGTCACACTTTTTCTTTTTTCTGCAGATAGAGACCTTCTCAGCCAGCCAAGGCACTAAGCTTCCCTCATAGCCTTCCTCAGCCTCGCAGGAAGAATTAATTGGGGGCAACACTGTCTCAACTTGTATCCCGTATGCCGTTTCCGAAGGCTGTGGTGGGCTGTGAGCTGCTGAAGGACAGGATGCTATTGCACATGCCGTCTTAGCACATGGGAGGCTCCCAGTCACTTAGTCACCGTAGGCTGAGTTGAGCTGATGTCTGCACTACACCCTCCCTTTCTGCATTTGGAGGCTAGGAGGACTCACCCCCCACCACAACTACATGTGGTTCACAAATCACTCCAAATGCTGGAGGTGGCACCTGCTATGTTCCAGAAAGTTAAGTACCTCTGCCACCTTGCCCACCATTACCTGGAACAGCCATTATCGTTGTGCGAACACATGGCCCAGGAGTTTAAACGCTATAACCAATTAGTTTCTCGGGGTGCATCATCTTAAACACGCCAAACTCAACAAGATGCGAGCTGGTTCTAAGAAGCCTTCTTTTCTTCCTTCCTTCCTCTTTTTTTTTTTTACTTGTTCCAGCAGCACTTACCCATCTGTACTTCCACTACAGAGCTATTCCCACTAGAAATGCCGTGAAACCTTTCAAATAAAATATTTAACGTGTGGATCTGGTAATTTTATGTTGTGAGTTACGAAACCTTTATTTAGGTCCCACCTTTTATTAAACCTCAGGGTTCTCTTTTGGTCTCTAATGACATTACGTCGCATCAGAATTAGACGGTTTTTACAGGGGACTGTATTATTTGTTGTGACGCGGTAATGCTAATGTTTAAATTTTGAGTCCTTTTACTGCTGATTAAACCTCTAAAGACTACAGCAGAATTTCCGCTTCACTGCTAGAAGAAAAGAAAACAGTGCGGTTTGTATTGAGGAGATCACTTGAAGAATGTGCAGGAAGGTTGCTGCATTTATGAATAAAGCGAGGCATTATCATTTTTAATAGGAATTAAACAGCTAGAGGGAGAAGTCGGGCAATGCTGTGATCAGTGCAAAGGAAAACAATCTAACAATTTTAATTAACTGTATTTTAATAGCTTTAGTTATAATTGAATAATTTAAATACCAAGGGAAACAGTTAAATCTCCTAAAAGCCTTTTTTTATTTACATTTTAAATACAGTTCACGGTGAAGAGATGACAGTATGTGTGCTGGGGGAAAATCGCCTGGATGACTCCAGCAGCTGGGCAAGCCTGGAAGAGACAGGACGGAACACGAGTGATCCCGGGCCAGGGGCTGGAATGTCCCACTGCCTCTGGCTGACATAGCCTCCCAAAAGGACCAGGAGGCAGAAGTGGGCAGCGAGGGGTTCCCTGCCTGCCCAGGGCCTGCTGCACATTTGGTGTAACAGCCCCCCATGTTAGCAGGGTCTGGAGTAAGTCTTGATATTCATTCAATGTTCAAGCAGTATTTATTGCTAGTCTACAATAACAACCACCACAGCAGTAATAAAATAGTAGAAATAACAGCTGACACTTACAGAGGGCTTCCTGAATGTTCATGGCTAGAGATAATGGTGAGAGAGAGATGGTCCCCACTTTCCTGCAGTTTTTTACCTGGAGGGAGAGACAGACAATAAACAAGTAAACAAAGTAAGTATAAATTATGATAAGAAGCCTACAGGAAGCAAACAGGATTCTAAAATAGAGGATAATGGTGTGGTAGGGATAATTTCAGATAAGATGGGCAGTGATGGTCCTTCTCTAGAATTCACATTTATGTCAAAACATTGAAAAGTGTGAGATGAGGGCTGGCATTTAAGTGTGAGAGAGCTAGAGCTTTCCTGCCAGCTAGAGCAGCATGTGCAAAAGCCCTGGGGTGGGAAAAGACTTGGTAGCATATCGGAGGCACTGAGAGGAGCTAGCAGGGACTAGACCACAGGGAGGAGGGGAGAGTGATGTAAGGTGGGGCACAGAGGGTCATGGGCAGCCATTGGAAGATTTTAAGCTGTGGAATGATGCAGTTTGATTAGTGCTTTTAAAAGATCTTACTGCTGTTTTCCTAAGCCTTGTGCTGGGGTGTGAAATCTTCCCTCCCTTACCCCTGTGGGCCTTCCCAACTCCTGTGTCAGAATTCCTAATATCCCAGTTCCCATGCACATCCCACCTGGCCTTCGTTCTTCATCCCTTGTTGACTGGGGCCCAATATGGAAGTGAACAGATTCCTCTCAACTGCTGCCAACTCTCAAATCATAGAGCTGTTGCCTCCCAAACTTTATACATCACCACTAGCTGAGACTCCTGCCATTGCATGACCACCCCTTGGCTGGGGCCAATGAAGCCCATGTCGCTGTGTATTGCCCAATAGCTATGCTCTGGGAGACCAGCCCACCACCCATTCAGCGCCCTTTCTTCCTCTTCACCAGCCTGTGGAGAAGGTCCCTCATGCCTTGCAGCCAAGCTCTTCTGAGGCATGAGAGTCTCTGTCAGTGCTAACAAGGAATCTTGGGAGGTAAAGATGTCCAAAGACGGGACACTGGGAGATGGCAAGATGCGCTCTGTGAGGATCCTCTGGGGTCACAGCAGACACTACTAATGAAGTGTTTTGGATTGCCATCTTTTTCCATTAAAGCTGGGCACTCCTGCAGCTCCAGGTCACCCTACCATGCCCAGTGTCCTCTCCTGCTGGGGGAAGGCTGGGCTGTTTCACTAATGGGGCCACCAGCCAGCTCAGAGAACAACAGGGGAAAGCCGCTGGCTGAGCAATCTGTTTCTTTTTCCTAAGAACCTCACTGGCTTCTCAGAGGGCTCCATGAAGGAGGGACCAGCTCAAACTCCAAGTTAAAGCACCGGGCTGTGCTGATAGGTCTGGATCCTGAATTTACTCACGAAATAATGTAGAGAATATTCATCTCAGAGGGGTGAGCAGGCTCTGTGGGGTGATGAAAGACCTGTGAACATAGAGTCAAGCAGAAATGATCACAACAGTGAGAACAAAAACACACACGTGCTGTTGTTAACTATACTTTGAATGCTAATTCAATCCTAGAAGTAAGGTGCCCCTTCAGGTGAGTTCTATCATCCATCTCTGCTTCACAAAGAGGAAAAGAAGGAGTAGCACAAGGTAGGGCAGTCTGCTGAAGTCACCGGCTAGTGTATGATGAACAGAGGACCTACCAGTCTGTGCCTTATTCTTACCCATGATACCGCCCACTCACTCCAATCTCAGCCCTGGCCTGACACTCGCTGGCCGCTATCCTCAAGCAGTGCCACTGAGTTGTGTCACCCATGCTGTGCCTTCACTTGTTTGCCCTACAGTTATTCAGTGCTTCCTCTGAGCCTCTCATTCATCTCATCTACAGATAAAAAAACCCAATGCTCTGAGACACGAGACCCTACATAAATGCACACAACTATTCATGTCCTGGAAACTTGAGCTAGTGGTCCCACAAAGCCCAACTTTCTCACAACTTAATGACGCTCT